TTTTGGCTTGTAACTTTTGGCAGACGTGCTTGAGGTCAAATGCATGGATCCCATGAGAGAGATTGATTAATTTTACAAAGTAAGATCCCCTATTTTTCATTTCCAGTAGGTTCTAGGTTGTGTTGAAAATTTTTACTGAGTCTGTTTTAATGAGAGTACTTTAGGATTTCAGTATATTGTGCTTGTCTTCCAGATTGAAAAATGTGATTATAGCTGATTGCCACATTTGTTGTGTGGTTATCTTAATATTGGTTATCTGTTCAAACTTGACAAATGTTTGTTGTATATCAATAAATTTTGTGTTCAAGGGGATGTCCTACACTCTTATACTCTTTTCCTTATCGAGTTTGCTAATTGTTTGGGGAGTGGAGTGAGTTTAATATTGTTTGTTTCGGTAAGATGGATGTTTCTAACTGTTTCTGCAGATTGGTGGTCTCTAAAAATAGTAATGATATAGTCAATTTCTTCTATTCATTTGCTTTGGATTGTGGGTAGTCCTTTAGGAAAGTTGAGTGCTCTGGTAAGGAAGGTGATTTTTTTTCCTATGGAATCTCCTGATAATGAGTCTCTTTGATTCCAAGTTTAATTCTCTCTCTGCCATATCTGATGTTTCTATCGAAGAGGGAGTGGGGTCTTGATCTACTACTTCATGAGAAGTCTCTTTTTTCTTGGTTTCCTTGAGTTTGCCAACCTTGTTCTTCTTGCAAGAAAGTATTGTCATCAAAATTCATCTCAATGTCCAAGTTATTGATTTTTGCTGGATTAGAAATATTCATTATGATTTTTTTGCCTTTTGCCTTGGGGCCTTCATTAGCCTTGTGATTTGCTTTACCTATATTTTGATATACCATGATTTGTATATCTTGCTCTTTTTCTACCTATTCACTTCAGGTGTATTGGATCCTTGCCATGTTAGTTTTTTCTACCATTTCTATGATTATATTGTTATCTTGAGGTATTATTTATATGATATTTGAGAATTGATGGATAGATTGTTTTTGTGGAGCTGTTTGTTTAGTGCTAGGTTTCTTTTTGAGTCTTCTATGTGTTTCTTTACTAATGAAACTGGCCTTGCCTCTGGTAAGCTTGTTGATATTGTAGTTAAACCTGCTAGTTGAATATTGTTGTCCTTTGGGTCTCTTTGTTTTTAACTTTTTTTTTGCATTTTTGTAATTTATACTATTGCACCACAGGAAAATAGAAAAGAGTTGCGACAGCCTAATATATATATTTTATCTTTATAAATATTTAAATATATTATTAAAATAGCATGAATACATATACATACAGTATATAGACCTATTTCAAAACAATACTTTTTCAAGATGCAGTCAAAACTTATAATGCTATTAATCAGAAAATATTATAAAAAGAATCAAAATATCTAAAGGTTTTATTAAGATCATAATAAGCCTTTTCAAAATTAAAAAATACAAAGTTATATATAAAGATAATTTTACAAAACTTATAAAAGCAGGAGATAAAATCAATAAAAAAAAAAATATCTTTACTATTAATGTGAAGAATCTTTTATGATTATTTATTATACAAAATTCAAAATAATATTAATAGAGGATATAAAATATCAACTATCTGGAATCCAAACTTTAGAAGACAAATAATCAAGAAGCTTGAGTCAAGACATGCCAATATAACCTTCATGGATTATATAAAATAAATAACAAAATCCAAAAAAAATATAGAAAAGATTCTGAAACAGTAAGAATTTTTTATACAGTATAACTAATGCCTTTCAGATCAATAGCAACAAATTAATCCTAATTACTATTAATAATCACAATTGTTATCTTGAAAAAGTTCAAGCTGATATTAAAAAAAAGACAATCAAAAAATTTAATAAAACAAAACAAGCAAGATTTTTAGAAATCTGAATAGGTAATCAAAAAATCGCAATTGAGCTTAAAGAAACACTACTCAAAAAAATTCATGTAATTGTTAAAACTTTTAAAAATAAAAAGATAATATACTGTATAAATAAGTACTCTATATTCTGAATAAAATATTAATATCAAGAATAGAATTCAGAATACAATATAGTATATTGTTATAAAAAATATATAATATATTAGTAACAATATACAAAAAACTTTTCAAAACAAAAGTTTATTATATTGATCTATATCTAATAGTATAATATACTAATCGAATATCTATATTTGAAGAGTGCCTAAATACTACAAAAAAGAAAGTCAAGTAACAGAATTGTACAATATATTGAATAATCTTAAACTAACAGGAGTTATAACAATTATTATTATTATTGTTTTTTTTAACCTGCAACTATGTCATATGGCTTGATCTTTATTGAGAAGTTATATTATTATCTATAATATTATAGATTTTTCATATAATAATCAACTCATCATTGCATTGAAATACTCTAAGTCAGGTTTAGGGAACAATATTTTATTTCTCTAAAGAATTGATAAATAACATCCATTAACTAGGTTTATTATCAATAGTTTGTTACTGTAGACTACCCATAAATCATAAATTACTAAGTTAAAGAGAAAGGGAAAAGAAAAAATTGAAAAAGGAAAACAATTCAAGGTTCTATCAAAAAAGTTAAAAAAGAAAGCAATTCTTCTTTCAAAAGAAATATATTTGATTAGAATAGTCTTTTTGCTTCTCTTTAGTCTTAAAAAAAATCTTTTTTGTCTATTCATCTCTTAGTTTTTTGATATTATGGATATCTTCCTTAAGGAACTTGAGTTTTTGAAGAATAAATATTTCCAGAACATTTTGTTCATCTAACCATGTAAGTGTAACCAATAGGAGCTTGTTTACATTCAAAAAACAAATATGTTTCATATTGGTCAATTATCTTTGATAAGAATTTGTGCTACCTAAAATTTAGGGTCAAATTGAGATAGGCAAAATTCTCTAGAAAACTGTAAAAATAGAAGCTCTAAGAGAACCTAAACAATCAGAAAAGGAGGAAATAAGCCTTTTTATGGCAACAAAACCTCTATAACCTCTCACTTCAAAAATTGAAAAGGTCTTCAGATATTTCACAGTCAGTTCTTTTTTCTTGGAAACTTTCTTAACATTGGTATCAAAGATATTACTTGACTTTTTTGGCTATCAGAAGCCAAGTTTTTGATGAAGAGGTTAGTAAACAAAAGGAAAAGAGTAGAAGTGACTCTTGAAGTCATATTCAAGTTGTTTTAAGAAAAGGAGTAAGACTTTATTAGCAAAAAAATATAAAAACTTCTTGCAAACATTTTTTTTGTACACAGTTAAAGGATCAATGGAAAGTGTTTTGTTTTTTAAGTAAATTTTCAGGAATTACAACAATTATAAAACTCAAACAAGTACAATTAAATATGAAAACCATTCAATATACTGACTTATAATTCACTAAATAATTTCTTGAATAAAGACAATTTTTTGTTTCAAGTAATCAAATTGACTAAAGATATGAAAATAAATTTTAAAAACTAGAAGTAACATAATATTTTTTAATGGAAAAAATAACTAACTTGATTAATAAATATATTATATTTGATGATCACAATAAAAGTATTTTATTATTAAGAAGTAATAGGTTGATATATAAAAATAAATATAATATAATATAATAATTCTTTTTATTAATCTTCTGACCATATATAAAAAGATGTTTGCAGGAAGTTTTTATACTTCTTTGTTAATAAAGTTTTATTACTTTTCTTAAAACAACTTGAATTATGACTTCAAGAGTTGTTTCTACTTTTTCTTTTTTATTTACAATCTTTTTACTCAAAAACTTGACTCATAGTAACTAAGAAAAGTTAAGTAATACCTTTGATACCAATGGCAAAAAAGTTTTTAAAGAAAGAAGAACTGACTATGAAGTACTTAAAAGTTCATTTAATTTTTAAAGTGAGAGATTATAGAGGTTTTTTATAATAAAAAGGCGTATTTTCTCCCTTTTTGATTGTTTTGATTCTTTTAGGGCTTCCATTTTCATAGTTTTTTAAAGAATTTTACTTATATCAATTTAATCCTAAATTTTAGATAACATAAATTCTTACCAAAGGTAATTGACTAACATAGAAAACAATTAATTTTAACAATTGATTGGCAATAATAAAAGTTACCAAAATAATATTTATCCAAAATATTCAAAAAATATTATATTGTTTTTAAGATTAAACTTAGAAACAAAATAATTTTTTTGATAAAATAATTATTTTATTTTAGATTCTATATATTGTATATACAATGCTTAAACATATTTGTATTAAGTCTATTAATATAATTAGTATATACTATTAGTTTTGTTTAAAAAATTATTGCAAAAAAAAATTGAATTTTAGTCTTAATTAATAATAATTTGAAATTATAATATTTAAAAGTCAAAATGAAAATAAGTAGAGTTGAATATAGAAATAGCTTTAGTGATATATAAATATTATAAAATTTATATATTTAACCTGCCAGAAAAATAAATAAATAAATTAGACTTAATTTGAATACAGGATATTAAATACTTTCAATATAAAATTAAAATTCGCAATTTACAAGTTTTTGATATAATGCATATATTTTAACCACCAGTATAACGAAGTTTTCGGGTCAATACATCAATTTTATGTCTTCTATTTTATATTTATATATACAGTATATACAGTATATATATTTTGTAAGTTCGATTCATATGGGCACGTGATAAGTATGAGCAGATTACGATTTCTACTCCTTACCATGCTTTTTATAACTTCTGAAAATATAAAAATCCAGAAGACATAAAAAAAAAAAAAAAAAATACAGATTATGCAAAAAGGTGTTGACTATTTCTATTAAATTAATATTGTGTTCTTCTCTTAATAATTGAATCGATTCCAGTGTCCAAGGTATGTACATATATCATTATGTGTCCACCTCTCGCTAAACATCGCTTCCCATGTAACCTCCTTAACGAAACTTGATCTATACTCACATTAGAATATCGTTTGTGTCGAAAATTTAAACATGAAACTTGCGTGCCAATAACTCTACCACCAAATCAAACCAACCCAAATCACCAGCAACCAGGTAAACACCGCCCATTCCATCTTCTCATCGGTTTTTCTCGCTGCCGCACTGCAACTCAGAGGTCTTGGCGTTGGTCCGCCGTAAAGATCACAAGATCCGCCTGTCGGTTGAGATTGTGAGACGCTATTGCTTGCAATAGGTACGCTAGGACTTATACTACTTGCGTCGGGTGCATTGGAGCTGGTACTGCTAGTACCAGGCGTGCTATAACTGGTATTGCTAGTACTAGGCGTGGCAGAACTGGTACTGCTAGTATCAGGCGCGCTATAACTGGTACTGATAGCACCAGGCGTGCCTGAACTGGTGCTACTAGCACCAGGCGTGCCTGAACTGGTGCTACTAGCACCAGACACGCCAGAATTGACATCAGGTGTGCCAGAATCGGTACTACTTGCGTGAGGTATACTAGAGTCCGTGTTACTTGCGTGAGGTACACTAGAATCTATACTACTCGCTCCAGGTCTGTTATTACTTGTAGTTCTTACATCAGGTACGCCAGAATTTGTGCTACTCGTGCTCGCGATAACAGTACTTGCAGGGGAGATATTAAGATGCCTTTCGTGTATTTCGTATCCAGCTGGGTGAGACAACCTAATCAACAACAACCGAATGAAAATGCTTCCTTGCGAGTTAATTGGAGGATGCCAATTGAGTACGATTTTTCGATCGACTTTACCATGAGAAATTAACGTTTTATTTTTTCCGCGGTCTTTGGAGTGACATTCTTTAAAAGTTTAAATTTTGTATCACGTGATTAGTGTGATCATTAAAAAATATCATGTTCCTCTCATCTTTCGCTTACCATCATATATAAAATTATCATCACCATTCAGTATCCAACTACCAACTTTTATATTATGACGACTGACCGCATAAACCATTACGCTGTCAATATCCACCTTGTTGATTATTTTTACCTGAATGGGTGACCCACCGGCCACATAAGAGGAGGTTGAAGTTGTAATAATGGAGTCTAAAGGGACCCGTGAGCAAATATGATGACATTTGCTGGGATAAGCCTCTATAATCGAAGTTCAGGTTTACAACAGGGTGAGATGATACGGTAATTTGAGTATTAGTAGAAAAAATTTTATTTACCTGCAAAACAGACTCCTTTCAGACTGGTGCTCCCTCTCTTTATCTTTATACCATCTAAACTTAGATTCAGACTCCTCTTCGTTATTTCAGATGCGGAAGCCGTAGAAATCATTGAAATACCAATATTAAAGAAACTTCTACCATCGCTGGAGATTATACACCACAAAACTAATATGATAAGTAGCTTTGAATACATGCTGCCAGAAAATGATGTCAATAGAGGATTCGACAATGAAACTCGCATAATTTACGTATTGAAAGTCCTTTATTCTAAAAGTGTATGTATGCGTCCGGAACTATTCCGTTCGCTTGTCTTAAGAAAAGCAACGGTAACAGAGTTAATCCTTGGAAACCCCAAATTTTTTATAGTAATTTTGTTCTATCGTAAAATCTTTTACTCCTAAATAATTCATTAGAAGGGAGAAACTGTTGTCTCCCGTTGTGATCCTCATGTTGAATACATAATACCAAACCAATCCCCTAAAAGAAAAACGTTAATAATCCAAATAATTTATTAAAATTTTCTGTATTCAATTAAATTTTTACATAAGTTATGTACTGAAATACATTATTGTTTCAGTGTTGCCGAGGCGATTTATTAAAACCTAAACCCGGTTAGACATCGAAATTCATTAGAAAAACCCTTATTAATTCTACATATCATGACACAACGGTTTTAAACTCGGAATGAGAATAGATCCAGAGAATCGCCCAGGAAGATGTCGTTCTGCTGACGTATGTACAAAAAAAATGTGTACATGACGTATCACAGCAATAATTTGATTTACGTACTGTATGTACAGTATATCAACTAACAAGACCATCGTACACGGTTTCGCAGCCGATAATTATTTAATTACAGAATTCTTTTTTTCTCCGACGCGGGGGATCTTGTCGGATTATATTTAAATTAAGGGACTGGGATTGTTAGGATTTTCACGGGCTGTCCGAAATTCTTTCTGGCCTCCAATTTACCATTACTATGACGTTTTTTTTTCCTCAGTCAGCGAATTCGATGATTACTATAAATGTCGTAAATGATATTCAATAATATATTACTCATTAAATTTTAATTGCATACATAATCAAAAACCGTTTTACAATTACTACTATCAATATCTCAAGACTATGATCAAATCCGGTTTCGTTTTATTTATAAAAAATTCATAAAATAATATCGATATCAAAAGTTTTTAAAATCGACTGTTTAAAACAAAAAAAGATGATCACTCGAGGACGCCTAAAAGTAGTTGCTCCTTGAAATTGCCCCTCCAAATAAATATCCACAAACATATTTATAGGATCATCCCGTAGCGTATTTTTCACTAATAATGATAACTTTCTTAAATTGATAAATACTGTGAATATATAGCGCATACAGAAAATTTATAATTTTAAAAATTAAATAGAATTTTAAATGCGTTCTTGAATACCTATAGAATAAAGTTATTTAAAATTCGTTAATTTATTAAATTATTATTTTATTTTAAGTATACTGTATGTATAGTATATTTATAAAAATATTTAAATTAATAATATTTATCTTTAAATAATTTATTTATTCATTATTATTATTTTTAAATTGATTTTTTAAATTTTATTAAAATTATAAATCTTAAAAAATCATAGATCTTAAAATTTTTTTATTGATTTTCTAGTTATATAATACATAAAAAAATATTTTATAAAATCTTTTAATTTTTTAATTAATATAATTTTATTATTATTTTAGTAATATCTAAAGTTAATAAAATTTGTATTTACCTTTATCTAGCAATAATATAATTTATATAAATTATAATTTAAAAAATCAAGTTTTAAAATCAACTAAAATTATCTTGACTTAATTATATTATTGAATAATAATAAGAAAAATAAATCTATTTAATTGATAAAATATTATTAATTTTTATATACTAAATTATTAAAGTATAATATTTTTTTATTTTTTGCTAACCCAGTCTTGTTTATTAGCTTTAATAAAGTAATTTGCAATATATATTATAGGAATTACAAAAAAAGACATAAGATATTTTATATATTATTTATAATACTAAACTTCTTAAGATTATAGTCTACCAAATGACTTGTTGTTACTTCAGACCAAGAGAGAAACTAACTATCAAGGCAAAGCCAATATTAATTTTTATATTAAATAAATAGAGAATAAAAGTATTGTATTTAATAAATTTGTTTAGATATTTATTAGTAATAATAATATAACTATCTTTGATAACTTATTCATTGATCTATATATATATTTGTATTGTTTTTCAATCTGTTTATTGATTTCTATTGTTTGTTTCCATTGTTAAAAAATATAATACAGTTTCAGTCATTTGTGATAAAGCAGTTCTTTCTATTTATGAGTTATTTCTTTGATGCATTTCTGTATACTAGGAAAATATGTTATAATTTTGTATATGGCTGATATAAGAAACTTGAAAAGTATTTCTTTAATAAAAAGTTTGAGTTCTGATAATGTTTTTAAAGATATTTGTTGTTTGATTATTTGTATATAATTACTTTTTTATTATTGGATAAATATATTCTTTGCATGTATTGATTACAATTTTATTTACTTGTGCAATAAAATCTTATAATATAGTATCACAAAGAAAAGAGTGATAGTTATCTTCTATTTAATTGCATCGAGGACAAAGATTATCTGTGTAGAATATGAATTTTCTTATATACAGTTTGATTTTAATGTGCAATTCATTGTTCTATAAGTTAATAGAAAACTTTCTTATTTATTGATCTTTTATTAATATACTATTATTACTTATTTTAGAGAGATATATGTTATTTAAAGTTGCTACCCAGTTTATATATTTTTATTGATCTATAAAATCTATAAGATTTTATTTAAAACTCTTTATTATACTAATCTTTTGACTTGTGAAAGTTTTTAATATATTGTTTTGGCTGAAATATTTATTATATCCTTGTTCTATGCTAGAATTATTGTTATACTTGAAATATTAGATATTGATATTAAATTTGTAGAGTTTTAGAAGCCATACAATTGTTAAAGAGATTGATTTTGATCAAATGGCCTGCTATTTCATTATATTTTATTCCTGTGTGTACTGAAATTTTATACAAATGAATGTTGATGTTTTGGTTTTACATATGTCTTAAATATCTAATAGTAGTTTATAGTTTTTATATTTGCAAATCACTTGATTAGGTTTTTTGTTTAAAAATCAGTTGATATATAATATTATTACTTGACTATCCGTATAAAGATCTATAAAAGATTGAAAGAGTATTGTTATTAATACTATATAAATTGCTATAATCTTTGTCCTAATAAATAATGAATATTTATTTACTTGGATTTAAAATTAAAACTCCTGTTTCATAGGTATAATAATAATTTATTCTATATTCATACAGTATATAGTTTATTATATTAATCTGATTTGAATCCATCTATCTAGATTTGAAAGGAATTACTAGTTATAAAGATAATAATAAGTATCAGTTTGTTTAATATATATATATATATATATTTTAAATGCTAGCTCATCTTTGCGTCGAGGTAAGCAAGATTTATTTTAATAAGCAAAAAACCTAGGGACAACCAGGATAAATAACTACCCATACTGTCTAAGGATTTACAGATCAATGAATAGTACAAAGAGCTACCTATTTACATCTCACCCAACCAGAATAAAATAGTTACATGACCGTCTAGTGTAGGTATCTACTTACAAAAAACAAACTATGAAAAAATGAGAAGTATGTAAATACACATTGTGTCAATTTTCTATTCTACACCTTGATACTTCCTAGAGTGCGACTATTGGCCGGCCCACTGAGTGGCTTATTGCTACTCCAAAAAGAGGTGGCTAATATGCCAAGGATTCACCTAGAATACCCAGTACCACTGATGTTGAGGATTACCCATGTGGAGCCTTAACTTCACTAGCACTTAATCAAAAATTTTTTAAAAAAAAAGGGTTGTATTCGAGTCGAATTTTGTCCGAAGGGATGTAATATTGTTTAGCTGATCATTGTAAGTGGTTCCAATAAGCGGATGGAAGTATCAAAACCCTCCAAAAAGATACTAGCCCTGAGTGTGATGGTTGTGTTCGCTGGAGAAGAAATGAAGGGTCAGGTTATTTTCTATCCAAGGTAGCCTAATCCAGCCTTGTTCTTTTTGTGTAGCCAATGATGTCATGGTTTTTATGTCCTGTATCTACCCGTGCGACTGGCATGCAACTTAAATTGGACCCCAGGTTCTTATGGGTACTGAGGAAATGCATTCAGACACGTGAAGTGATCAATGGGAGCTTGTTTATTTCTTTTACTAATATGAGCTCTATCTGTCCAATCACGGTATGAGAAACTTTGTGCTACTCAAAATTCAGGGTCAAATTGAGGTAGGCAAAATCCTCCAGAAAAAACCAAGAATGAGCACTATGAGAAGTAAACATGATGACAAGAGAGTGGAAGAGTTGTCTCTTATCATCCACAAACTTCTGTAGTATTTCTCTATGGTGTGAGATGATGACACATCAGTTCTTCTTCCTTTTGGAACTTTCTTGTCTTTGGTAAGAAAGGTATTGCTTGACTTTCTGGTTACTAGCAGTTGAGTTTTTGTTCAAAGGGAAGTAATAACAAGAAGGGAGGGAAGTAGTAATGACTCTTGAAGTTTTTTCAAGTTGGTTTAAGGAAAGTTTTAGGACTTTATTAACATAGAAGTATGAAAACTTCTTGTGAACATTTTTTTTGTATATGATCAGAGGATTAGCGGAAAGAGTGTTGAAAAAATATAATGTCAGTTTGTTTAATATGCTTGGTTCTCCTTTGAAATGTTATTAAATTTGATTTTATATAATATTATTGCCTTGTATAATTATATAAGAGCTATATATTGATTCTTCAAAAGATGAGATGGTTAAATAATTGAATATTGCTTGTATTGAGTCAGAAAATATTTATTTTCTTCTAATAAATATTTATGAAAGATTGTTGAAGTGTAAAGTGGATATGATACTAAAGTTTGTTGGAATTATAATTGTTTTTTTTTTTTTTTTGCCCTTTATCAGGCTAGTTACGTATGCTTTATTAAACATTTGTAAGCTGTACATATGATATGAG